AGTGGACAATTACTTAAATATGAGCCAGCAATGTGTGCAGCAGCCAAAAAAGCCAAATGCAGTCTTAGGCTGCATTAACAGAGGGATAGATTCAAGATGACATGAAGTATTAGTACTGCTTTATAAAGCCTTAGTAAGAGCATACTTAGAATATTGCATCCAGTTTTGGCCACCATATTATAGAAAATATATTGACACTCTGGAAAGAGTGCAGAAAAGACCAACAAAGATTATTAGCAGCTGATGGCTAAAAAATATGAAAAATGATTGCAGCAGTTGGGTATATCTACTCTAATGAAAAGTAGTACTAGGGGAGGCATGATAGTAGTTTCAATATTTGAGAGGCTGCCACAAAGAAGAAGGGTTCAACCTATTTTCCAAAGTACCAGAAGTCAAGACAAGAAACAATGGTTGGAAACTGATCAAAGAGAGAAGCATCCTAGAACTAAGTGAGAACAATTAATCAGTGGAACAGCTTGCCTTCAGAAGTGATGGATGCTCCATCACTGGAGGCTTTTAAGAGGAAAATGGACAGCCACTTGTCTGAAATGGTATAGGGTCTCCTGTTCAAGCAGGGGGTTGGATTCCAATGTCCCTTCCAATTTTCTTATTCTGTTAAGCCATAGAATTCAATGAGGGTGTACTTTCTTTTCACATGATTATACATCTACCCCACCCTCACATATGTTGAACAAGCAGTGCTTGGGAGGGGATACTAACAGTATCATAAGTTTATTTCCTTTTCTTTTTGGGGTGTGTGTGTGTGTGTGTGTAAATCAGTGTTGATTGTAACTGTCTGAATGGTTCCCTGCACTTTTCTTAGCAATATTTTCAAAAGTGGTTTGCCAGTAGCTACTTTCTAGGAGAGTGAGAGACTAGCCCAAGATCACCCGTACGGTCTTATGCCCAATGCAGGATTAGAATTTACAGTCTCCTGGTTTATAACTGGGTGCCTTAATTATTATACCTAATTGGCTTCCTACACACAAATAATAAAGGTTATTATTCCTGGATTAATTTGTTAAAATCACTTAATTTTATTAACTAAGTTTAAACACTTGCTAATGATATGTGAAATGCCACATTCTAAACACTGCCCTCACTTCATCCCAATGGTGTTAAGAGTGGCAAATACTTAATGATATGACCCTGCATCTCTTGTTCAAAGGAAAAGTGTGGGAATACTAGATTTTCTCCCCTTGCATCTTAACAGTTTTTCCATCAGGTTACTGCTCTTTTATGTAAAACAAATGCTTTAACTTATCTTATAGAAACAGTGAGCAAATCAGTAGAAGTAGGAAATTTATTCATATTTATTGAATGGTTGCTATCCTGAAAAATGCTGTGCCACCCTGCAAGTGATGATTCATTTCCTTCAAAAGCCAATAAAACCTACCCAGGAAATTACATCGGGCTTTGTTTGCTGATAAAATGAAAAGAAGAGATGCTTTACAGATTAGCATTCCCCCTCCTTTTTCTTTATTAGTCTGTAGCCAGTAGGCATTGACCTTCTCCAAAGAATGTTTTTTTAATGTTGACATAGAATTTATCTGACAGCTGAAGAGAGACCCAGGAAATTGCATTGCCCTTATCTAAGGAAGCACAGGGAAAGTAACTAGGCATTATTGAAAAAGGGGCAGAATATAAAAGAAAAATATTATACACAGAATGTTAAACAAATTCTTCCCATCCATGCTCTGTTGTAAACTGAAGAAACAAAGCAAGAACTTTTCTACCTTGATTTTCAAATAAATGCAGGTAGGAAAGGTGATAATTAAACAGAATTATTTCAAATAAGTTGCAATATTAATCTACAGCTGTAGGGCTATTCAAAAAAGGAAAGTCAGCTTTGCTCATCACTTCATTTTGCTGTTTCCTTTGAATAGAGGACACATCAAAAGAACTTTATTGATTGACTGGTTCCATTTCTATTTTACTTTAGTCAAGTAAAAGGCCCAAAAGTGTTCTTGATTATTTATGATTCCTTTAGGATTGTGGATGGCAAAAAAAGACAGAAATACACAACTATCTCCAAGGGTTCTGTACTTACAAAGGATTCTTTTATCTATCAGCCAAAAAGGGCATTTCCATATAGCATAATTCTCACTAGATAACCTCTCAGTCAGGCACATACATAACTTTTCAAATGACTCTTCTGCTGCCCTCCAGAGCTGGAGAGGATGAGCAATAGAAAAAGGTTACTCACTAGTAACGATATCAACCATCAATTTCTTCCCTAACATGAGGTAAGAGAAAGTTTTAATAGAAGGCTATGCCCATGGATTCTGAGACAATTTAATACCAAGACAATGATGGAGAAGCCCTTCCCCAATCTGGCAAGAGAATTTTGTGAAAAGATCAGTAATGGGTAAAGAGCAGTCTCCCCAGGTTCTCTTATCACTCCTACCAGATTTGGCAGCAAACTACCATAATTGAGCAGGATCCCAAGAGAACCAGAGAGTCCATCTGCCAGCCCTTGTTAACCAGCCCAAGAAACAACCAACAGATGCTCTAGAAAAAGCATGGAGAAATAGGAGAGATTCTATTTTACCATGTCCACTCCAAAGTATGCTATTTAAGGAGCTACTTTTAAACATATATTTACCATTTTTCTGAAAGAGAAGCATTTTCACTGTTTAAAAATATGAATTTTGGGCTCTTTGAAAAGAGCACTGAATCCATGTTTAAAGTAGCCTAGCTGACAGCAAGGAAGATGGCGGATGGGTGCAGGTGATCATTCCTTTTCTTTTCACCATATATAAGATGTCTCCCACATGTCTGTTAAATGTTTTTCAGGTTTCTTTTCAAACAAAGGTCTAGTGCTTTAAATCTTAGTTCCCTATTTTAAAAATAGGATAAAGAAAACAACTAAGAGATAAATTGAGGGATCTTATTATAACCCCCTGGAGAAACATATTTCTCAGCATTTCTTTAGAAATCTCCCAACAATCTATAGCTTTTCTAGCACCTAAATATTAATAATGCATATTAAGATTTACATGTAATATTAGCAAATATGAGACAGATTCCCCTGATCCCACTTCCTCCTGGTTCCACTAGCCAGCAGCTGTTCTGTAGCCAGAAATCAGTTGAAATACTGGGAGAGTATGGGAGAGAGCACAGTGTTAAAGAACCAGATTTTCCCACTGCCAGGAGACCAGTGCCCAGGGACTGGAGGGGAGGATGCATGCCAACCTCTGACAATTGTTAAACACTTTATTGATGAAGTGCCTTAGCAAAAAATAAACAAGAGAAGAGGGAGCACATCTCCTTGTTATCTGTTTTTCACCAATCACACTTCAGTTGCATGTCTTTTTTACAGTAAGACCACATTTTCATTCTCCAAATAAAGTGGTACCTTTGTACTCAACTGCTTTGAAACTCATCAAATTTTGTAGTTAATGCATTTTGACACAATTTTTTTTCCCAGTACTTATAGTTTGGTAGTCAATGCACAAGCTAAAACTTGACTGTGTCAGCTGCCTTGTGATTTATTACATTATTCCTTATGGAAAAAAATTGTTTGGTACTCATCATTTTTGGTATTCATTGCACACACACACCCCGAACCAATTAACGAGTACCAAAGTACCACTGTATTACTTTTAGCAGATCTTGTGTATCCTGGTCAAGAAGCAAGTGTGAAAAATACCCAAGAAGCTGAATCTCTTTGTTCCAATACTAAAAAATATAGAATATAGTTAACAGATAAAAAGGTCTTAGAGCAGAACCAATAGTGATCACATTACTGCCAAATGTGAAATCCATTATTCTTGTATCTACTGCAATTCCAGGTAATTGATAGAGGCCATGCATATGTACATATATGAATCAAAATAATCCAAATGGAGAACAGCAAATATATAGGCACACACATAGCCATTGCTCTTAACACAGAGAACACATACACAACATATAAACAAAGGATCGCTCTGCTGGAACAAAGAAAGCTCTTTTTTTCACTTCAGGAGACAGATTGCACTGCTCTCCATTGGGTAAGAATACCCTGTATAATCCTAATACAGTAACAGTAATTTTAGATTTTAAAACCCACATTATAAAGACTTAGATTGGAGAAAAGATGGGAAGGATGTTTCAACAATGTTACTCTGCAGTAAGGAATGCAGATGGGGTGTGGAGTTCAGAGCTATAGAAATCCAACCTCATTTATTAAATAACCCATTCAAATGTCTGTTATAGTTGAATATATGCTGTTATGGATGAGTGATTGGGTCAGTATAAGATAACAATTGGCATATCATCTGTTAATTTCCTTCTTAAAATAGCCAAAGTACCAATGAAGGAAAACATTTGTAATTCAGGGTTGAAATGAGGGATCCTTGGTGCTCTCTGAGCTTGCTTGTTTTCTTGCTAGGTAATGAACCGTCTGCAAGAAAATAAGCAAGCTCAGAGAGCACCAAGGACCCCTCAATAGCCAGAGTGAGACAACATCCCAGTGTAATAAAATTACCTATTTATTTGCTGTTTATTTAAAAGAGACTAATATTTAAAATTCTGATTAGTGTGTAACCTGTTTAGTTGACCCTCTTCCTTGCCCCAAGAGCCCAATCAGCTTGCTGATTCAGCAGAAATCTAAAGGCAATTAAGACAAGTTAAGACAATAGCTGGAACTTATGGAGAGAAACTAGGGATAAATCATATTAAATCTGGGTTACAGTTTAATTATATACCTATTCCAAGATGAAAAGAATAGCCTAGATAGAGCACTTCTCTGCTATTATTTTATCTACATCAAAGAGACAGCATAACTCTTCTAAACCATTTTTCTAAAACTATTTTTCTAGCATTTGGTGGGCAGAAGTCAAAGCTGTTGTGTGGCTTGCTACAACTTATTTCATTTGTGGGTCATGTTACTAAGAATCACTGATGGTATGTTAGGAACTTATGTTAATACCAAACATAATGTCTTATGTGACTTTAAAAGCATCAGCTAAATGGTCCTGCTATATTACATTCTGAATTTAAGAATTCTGACTTGCCTCTACTCCATTGAGAAGGTAACGAAATTCAGGGCAGATGAAAGCACTCCCAGCATAGGCTGCATCAATATGCATCCAAATATTTTCCTCATTACCTAGAAAAAGAAATGTCTTAGATGCAATACATTTTACCTTATTAAATTATTGCAAAGGTGGGAAAAATGATCATTTGGGAGTTGCCCCACATAAAACAGGAAAGACACAGAACTAGCCATTTCTTAATGCAATTGGCAAATGGTTCCCTGCTGGCTGGTGACAGTTAGAGAGAGAGGGTTTAATCCATAGTCTAGCTGAATATACTTTTCACATCCAAAATTAGGATACCACCATCCAATGACAAGCCTGATTGAAGGCTATAGATGCATGATCAGATGAACATGAGAAAAAGTACATTTTTTGCTAGTACAAACATCTGCGTGCTCAAGGATTGGTACAAAGTAAAATAGCTTGATAGTAGAGAAAAGGTCTAATACTCATAAAGTGAACCTTTGAAATCCATCAGACTATTAGATATCATTTATTTAATTTGTTTCCCATTAATTTCAAGAGAGTTGATTATAATCAACTTAATCTGAATTCTACCCATGAATTATAGAAGCAGCTGTCTAAGAAAGGTAGTATAAATAAATCAAGAAAGTTCTGTTCATTGTCCTGAAATGTACTCTATACTGTTAATTCTTAACAACTATTGATAACAACCGTTATTAATGTCCCTTTTTGGGAAAGGTGCCAAATAAAGGTAGCTGTAAAATGTCTGATACTTTTGAAAAAGATGGATTATCTGAACTCCTCCCCTGGCTATGGAAGTTTCTCAGCTTTTGATTTCCTGATGGAATACTTCTTCAGTGAATATAATTCTATTGAATCTCCTAAATTTAATTATAGTGTGCTGTGATACAGGATTCTGAGGTGTTTTATGATTTTAAAGATTAGGTGATTTAGAAATTTTGTTATAAAATTATAAATTTATAATACATATGTGCACCTTATGAACATTTTCATTCAACCATGATTTCAAGATTCATTTTCTGACCAGTCATTATCAATTTGGATCCCATATATTATGCTGTGTGCATGTGTCTTAATATATATTACTATACACTTTTACCCATTAGGTGTTATGTTTGGTCCCTCACAGATATTGAACCACATTCTGCAATCAAATCAAAGCTTTGAAATTAAATCCAAAGACAGATATATCTCTGTTTTCAATCTCTAAAAACATCATTTTGATTCCAAGATTCTGACTATGGATAATGGCCAGAAATGGAGTACTATTCCAAATACTGTATTTTCCGGCGTATAAGACGACTGTCTAAGCCACAAAAACCTTCTTAAAAGTTGGGGGTCGTCTTATACGCCGGAAAATACGGGTATTCTATTTTATTCCTTTACACATGTGGTTTAGTATATTACTCATCAAGTTTTCTCTCCCCCCCCTCTCGCTCAAAAAGAGTCCTTGATTGGTAGAGTGGCAGTGGGGAGAGCAATTAAACTCTAAGCTGTTTGTTTCAGCAATCCGTCCCCGCGGCTCACCTCTAGCAAGCATGTGGTTTACAGCTGCTTTTTGCTAACTTGAAGTCACAGGCTGGTAAATGCCTGTGGGTCTCAATCTGTCTCCTCGCTGCTTTGCACTTTCCGAGTTGGAGATTGGGGTGGGAGGGAAGGATTGGAGGGAGAGGGAGGAGGGAAAGGAGGCGTGTGTGTGTGCACGCATGCTTCTGGCAGGCGTGTGGTTTGCAGCTGCTTTTTGCTCGCTGCTTTGCACTTTCCGAGCTGGAAATCTGGGTGGGAGGGAAGGATTGGAGGGAGAGGGAGAAGGGAAAGGAGGCGCGCACGCGCGCGTGTGTGTGTGCGCGCACACACTTCTCGCTGCTTTGCACTTTCTGAGCTGGAAATCGGGGTGGGGGGAAGGATTGGAGGGAGAGGGAGGAGGGAAAGGAGGCGCGTGCACGCGTGTGTGTATGTGTGTGCGCAAGCTTCTCCTCACTGCTTTGCACTTTCCGAGCTGGAAATCGGGGTGGGAGGGAAGGATTGGAGGGAGAGGGAGGAGGGAAAGGAGGCATGTGTGTGTGCGCGCATGTGTATATGTCAGAAAGATAGGCGGGGGCCGAGAGAGTTGCAGTAAATACAAGCCAGGGACTTGCCTGGCATTTGCTCTTTCTATTGTTTGTTATCTTCCTCCTATCATCATCAGTTCCAGTTTGGTTGACAGCTTAGAAAACAAACAGCATGGCAGCTCCCATGGGTTTATTGTCTTATCCTTCCCTTCAGCTTTAGAGTGAATTAGGAAAAGTTTAATCCACTTGCACTGTTTTATGTTTATATGTTTGATGACAGCCTTATGTTTATAAGTGACAGTTTTTCTGCTAGGTACCTGCATGTCATAAGCATTTGAATTAAAATTACCATATTGAAATCAAATCTGATGTTTTTTAATTTTTATTTGGTGTGCATTGGAAGAGGGGTAGTCTTATTTGGTGAGTATAGCCCAAACTCTATATTTTAACTGGAAAAGTTGGGGGTCGTCTTATACGCCAGAAAATACGGTATATGCCTGGCTTCATATATAAACAAGCCATTGCAGTGATTGTTACAGCTGATGCTATCCTTTGAGGGTCCTTTGTAGTTCCTCTATATTGACCTAATGTCACATTATAAGAAGGAGGCAAGGAAAAAGAAAGGATTTATTTTCTATCTTAAAAAAAGAAGCTTGATGCTGAGTCTAGCCATGAAATTATATAATAGTTGAAGGCAGGGGAATGGGAGGGATTTCCTTTTCGCTTCCAACAGGCTATGGGAAAAGCAAACAGTGAGCAATCGGAAGAGCAAAAATGGTATAAGAAGAGCAATAAGAATCAGAATCTAGAAGACATAGTTCTAAAGCACATTTAAACCTAAGACTTCTCAGGCAGGAGATAATCCCAACTATGACCAACAAGAAAAAATAGGCATTTTATGTTTTGTTGTTATTCTAATTATGTACAGGTAGTCCTCAACTTACAGCCATTCATTTAGTGACCTTTCAAAATTATAACAGCACTGAAAAAGTGACTTATGACCATTTTTCACACTTATGACCTTGTAGCATCCCCAAAGTCATGTGATTAAAATGTGGATGCTTGGCAAATGGCTCGTATTTATAGATGATTGCAGTGACCTGGGGTCACTTTTGCTGCTTTCTGACAAAATCAATGGGGAAACCAGATTATTTAACAATTATGTTACTCACTTAACAACTGCGGTAGTTCACTTATTAATTATGGCAAGAAAGGTTATAAAATGGGACAAAACTCACATAACAACTCTTTTGCTTAGCAACAGAAAATTTGGGCTCAGTTATGATCATAAGTTGAGGATTACTAGTATTCAAATATGTTTTAATTTTATATTGTTTTCTCTATTGTGTATTGAGCGTATGATCTTGCTAAATAATTGCAGTAAAACTAAGCTTAATAAATGCTATATGTATGAGAAGGGGGTTGGACTAGATGACCTCCAAGGTCCCTTCCAACTTTATTATTATTATAACCTTTGATAAAATTTCAGAACATAGGTTCCTACTGTGATGAAAAAGAAGAATGTGAAAGTTTAAATTACAACTATAAAAATATATTGTATTTCAAGTCTGCCTAGCAAGAATGGAGTGATCTATAGTAGCTGTAAGAGAAAAGATTATATGAAAGAAATATTATGGAACTCATACATGCTGTGGTTTCATTTTTCTCAATACTTTGTGCATCATGAGTAATATTCAATGAATGACACCCCACCCCACCTCAAATGGCATTTTTTTTCTTGGGAGCTTTCATCATGGAACATTAGAATTGAAGTCATTGTCCTCCCAGTTTAAGAGGGAGAGGATACTGATCTTTTTTGTCTGGACTTCTAGAGTTCTAAGGACTTTACATTTCTGATTTTCATAGGTTCATATATATGCTTTTTAATATTTACATAGAAATATTAAAATGTTGAAATTGATTCGAGATTGGGTGGCATATAAATGAATAAAATAAATTTTTCCCAGCTAAAAAATTCAACCAGCTCTAGAAATGATGCCACAAAAGTATTTGTCTAATTAAATTGTGCAGGAATACCAAGTTTTTCTGCTGAGCAGATCTCTTACTCAAAATCCACTAAAGGGCTTAATGCAATATGACAAGACATACCAAAAACAGATTTTTAGTGTTCAGATACAATGATCACTTGTTAACTTACAAATGGGACCCAATTCTAGCAGATTGTCAAAGGAGCAGCATGTTGTAGTTCCAAGAGTTGCACACAACTGCAGGTCCAAAAAACAACAAAAAATAGAGATTTTAACAATAGCATTTAATGTGATGATAGTACACACTCTACAAATATAACTTTTAGTATATTCCTGATTGGCACAAAGCTGGCAGTCTAATTTCATGCAGCCATTTTTAGGGTGCTCTATGATTATGCAAACATACTTTATCAAAGACAACAAAACATTTTCAGTTAAAAAAAGTTTAGATGTAGTACAGTGGTTCTCAACCTGTGGGTTGTGACCCCATTTGGGGTCGAACGACCATTTCACGGGGGCTGCCAAACAACGCAGTCCGCCATTTCCCCCCCCCCTTTTCTTTAGCTGTGCTACTCCCTTTTATTCTATTGGCTTTTGAAAGCCAATAGAATAGACTCTCTTGAATAGAATCTAATTCTATTGGCTTTCAAAAGCCAATAGGAATTGTCCAAGCTGTCTCTGCCCTGCTGAGCCTGCCAAAAGTCCCATTCTGCAAACGGTGCTGCACGTAAGTAGTCCTCAACTTACGACCGGCTGAGTAGTCCTCGACTTACGACCGGTTGGGGGTTGCGAGATTAAAAAGGTTGAGAACCACTGATGTAGTACCTCCTGCCCACCTAAAAGTTCAAAAGCGTGCAAATGCTTGTAGATAAACAGGTATCTTTTTGGTGGAAGGTTATAGTATTCTATGAGCCTGCCTATAATCATGCTGGCCATATGATCACAGAAATGTCTTCAGACAAAGATGGCTCCCTTGGCTAAGAAAAGGAGATGAGCACCACCCCTTAGAGTTGGAATCTACTGGTCAGGGGAGACCTTTATTTTTAGATGTAATACCTGATAAATTTGATTGTAAATAATCATTTTAACTTTGTACTTTTCTTTCTTGATATCAACTTGTATTTTTAGTTTTGTATAATATTGTTCTGCCATTTTTTCCTGGTGAAGGAGATCCACGTATTTGTGAGGTCCTTCGGGAAGCCTCAGGAAGCCTCTTTGTAAATAATAACATACCAGAATTACAGAATTGGAAAAGACCTTGGAAGACTTCTATTCCAACCACCTGCTCAAGTAAGAGACTCTACCTCATTTTGGACAAGTGGCTGTTGAGTCTCTTCTTAAAAATTTCCAGGGATGGAGCACCCACAACTTCTCAAGGCAAGCTGTTTCACTGGTTAATTGTTCTCACTGAAGAAAATTTCTCTTTAGTTCTGGGTTCATTCTCTACTTTTGGTGCAAAGTTACCAAAACCAGTAGCTTTGAAATAACTGTCGAACTTAAATTTTTCTGATAAATATTGTCACCAGCCAAAAGCACAGTGCACTGAATAACTTTGCAGAATGCTCAACAGCTTCATTAATTTTGGCTTCTGGAAAAGTTGAAAACAAAGGACTCAAATTCAAATGTATCTTCTGAGATTGTCTCAGGCACTTACTATGCCATTGCGTCTGCCTATGTGTAAGGACCCACCCCACTTCGCATCTTAAGAAGACAGAACTCTTGGAATAATTTTTCCAACAGGCATCCTTTATTAAGAGAAAATGGTTGCAGGCGTTCTAGACAGGACTTGGGGTCCAAGCTCTCCCATTCAAGGTTTTAAGGGGTTCCCCAGTAGCCCCACCCAATCACCCCCTACTTCCAGAGACAGTCTCAGGCATTACACTCCCACCCCCTTTTCCTTACTGCCGGCTGGATGGAGACTTCAGAGAAAACTACATGAAAGGTAATAGCCCCATTGTTATCGTTACTCCTTTTGGTGATACACACACCCAGTTCCTTTGAAGTGTACCGAAGGAAGTGAGGGCCATAAAGCCCCTTTGTTCACCCCCTTCCCTTCATCATATGACAGAATCCATAGAAGGCAGAAATTGGGTTTTCTATAATTGATAACTAGAGATGAAATATAATTGGATTCTGACATCCTGCCCCCTCAAAAATAAGACAGATCCACCTGAAAGAAAACAAAACAGGTATAAAAGTTAGTCAGGCTTCTTAGGATACTCTGTGTGAAACTTCTGTAATAGCTTCGGGGCTCTGACATGACATTTATGGACCCACTCGTTTTGTGAGGGAGGGAGGTGTTTCCAGGCAACTAGGTACTGAGTCGCTCCATGATATCTCCTAGAGTCAAGGATTTCCTTTATTTCAAAGTGTTGTTCACCCTCCATCATGATTGGAGGTGGTGGTGGGGGATTTTTGGCCATAGAGGTGACTGACGCTCTCTTTTCAGCAAGCTGCAATGAAAAATTGGGTGTATTTGCCTGATATTTTTGGGTAATTCTAATTCTACTGTTACTGGGTTTATGATTCTTTTAATTGGAAAAGGCCCTATATATTTTGGTCCAAGTTTTTTACAGGGCTGTAGGGACTTTAGGTATTTTGTAGATAAGTACACCATTTCTCCTATAATGAATGGTGTAGGCTCAACTCTTTTTTTATCAGCTTGTGCTTTGTATGCCTGCCTAGCTTCATCTAGTGCTTTTCTAACTATTGGACAGGTGTCTTGTAATTGTTCCATCCATTCTTTCAGTGATGGGATCATTGGTTTGTTTGGGGTTAATTCTGGCATGGGGTTGGAACTTTGACCGGTGGCTATTTGAAAAAGAGTGTAACCTGTGCTGGAGTGGACTGCATTATTGTAAGCAACTTCTGCAAAAGGGAGTAAGTCCGTCCACTCATTTTGCTGGAAATTCAAAAAACATCTCAAATATTGCTCAAGTACTGAATGACAATGTTCTGTTTGTCCATCTGACTGAGGGTGAGGGCTAGATGTCAGTCCCTGAGTGGTTCCTAAGAGGGATAAAAATTCCTTCCAAAATGCAGACATAAATTGCATCCCCTATCAGAGATGATGTGTTCGGGTGCCCTGTGCAATCTGTAAATGTGCTGGACAAAAAGTTTTGCTAAGGCCTTTGCAGTGGGAATCTTTTGGTAAGGGATAAACTGCATCTGTTTGGAAAACAAGTACGTGACCGTACTTTCTGGCAATTCCACTATAAAATCCATGGCTATTTCTCTCCAGGGGGCTGAGGGATTTGCCACTGTTTGTAACAGTCCGCACGATTTCCCTTGCAACCTCTTTGCAGTTGCACATTTTGGGCAGCTGGCTACATAGGTTTCTATGTCCTTTTTTATTGATGGCCACCAAAATTTCCGTTTAATTAAGTGTAATGTTTTTACAAATCCAAAATGCCCTGCTGATTTTGTGTCATGGCAAAGCTGCATGAAAGTGACTCTTTGGGTTGTCGGTATATATAACTTTTCCCCTACCCAAGGCAACCCGTCTCTCATTGTGCACACATTTTTGTTTTTCTGGAACCATTCATCTGTTTCCAAACTTTTTCGGAATTCAATTCCAGTTTGGCTGTCCAGTTGTGGTTTTAATTTAGCTTGGGTTCTTGTGGTTACTGGTGCTACCAGTAGTGACTCTGCCATCATTGGTTTAGAGCCTGTGGCTCGTGCACTGTTATATTGGGGCATGCATCTGCCAGGAAGTTCTTTCTCTCTGGTAAATGTTTGAGCTTAAATTGGAACTGGTGAAAATGCTGGGACCAGCGGGCTTGTTTGGGATTGAGTTTCCTGGGCACTTTCAGGGCTTCCAAATTTTTGTGATCAGTCCACACCTGGAAGGGAATTTTGTTGCTTTCCAGGAACTGTCGCCACGTGAGTAATGCCCAACGTATCCTGTATGCCTCCTTCTCCCATACGGGCCAGTGCAGTTCTGTTTCCATGAGTTTCTTGGATGTATATGCACAGGGTTGCAATACTCCATCATCATTTTCTTGTAATAGAACAGCCCCCATTGCCACATCACTTGCATCTGCCTGTATTACGAAGGGCTTATCCATGTCTGGGTGCCTTAGTACTGCTTTGGCAGAAAAAAGTCTCTTTTTGTCCATGTTAGTGGCTGGCTAGGTTTTACTGAGGATGCTCCCTTCGTTTTTAGTAAGTTAGTGAGGGGCAAGGCTATCTGGGCAAATGAAGGGATGAATTGGTGGTAGAAGTTTGCAAAGCCCAGGAAACTTTGTAGTTGTTTTCTTGTGCGGGGTTTTTCTTGGAGTTTTGCCCCAAGCTTGAATTCAATGGTACAGTCTGTGGGTGGGTGGGTGGGGGAGCTCATCCGGCCTCTCCTCACTGAAAACTTCAGCAAGGTCTCTGTATTCCTCTGGTATTTCTGTTAGTCCCTTTTCCTCTCCCATGGATGCTTTTTCTATTCTTCATTCTGGTAGCCCCTCTTGGGATTTTAAGTCCATAGGGTCCCCCTTCGGGAATTTGATTTCTGTCATCCTCCAATTTACCCAGGGGTTCCATGTTTTTAACCATTCCATTCCTAGGATCATTGGGCATTCCATGCCTGGGGTCACCACAAACGTTATGTCCTCCTCATGTTTGCCCAGGGAGAGGTGTATTGGTAGAGTGGCTAGGGTAGCTGGCACCCCCCCTGCTATGGATCCATCTAACTGGCCAAATGAGATTGGTTGTTCCAGTCTCCTCCACGGAATGCCCAGATTCCCCACTAGTGTCAGGCTAATGAGGCGGCGGGTGCAGCCAGAGTCTATTAAGGCTTTCACCTTCACGGCTTCGGGCATGGGGGGAATTAATATAGTCACTGTCTTCAGGATGGGTGCGATAGATCCACTTACCAGGGGTTCGCCCTCTGAGCTGTCATCTGAGGCATCCACCAGCCCTGAGGTGTAGGCTGGAGTTCTTTCCCCCTGATGAGCAGAAGTGGGGGGTTCCACAATTTCCATCATTCTCATGGCAGTTTCTTTTGGCTTAGCTGAAGACTTTCCGGATTTGCTGATTGGGGATCTGTCTGGGTTGTGCTGGGGGGCTTTGGAGCGGCATTCTACAGCTCGATGCCTTTCTCTTCCGCACTTGAAACACCCCATTTGCTTCTTGGCTATAGCCAATGGTTTCACTGGTTCGTGTGTCAACTCAGGCGGGGAGCGGCTCCATTGTTTTCCTCAGCGGTGTCTCTTAAATATGTCGATCCCTGCTTCCTCTGCCAAGATGTA